CACTCACTCACATCTCCATACGCACACGCAACCATGCTCTCGCACACACTTGTAAGCACACGCTCATTCACTCGAAGTCAGTCACACACACACACACACACACACACACACTTACACAACACACGCACACTCACTCACTCACTCACTCACACTTACACACTCACACACAAGTCGCAGCTCACGCACACCACCGAGCTCCGCCGGCACTCGTGAACACTGGACACTAGATCGAGAAACAACACCTCAACACTCAACATGTGGCATGCTGCTGCCACACTAGCGCCGCGCTCCCACATCGCCACTTACTCACCTGGATGCGGCCCGGAACCAAGCCAGTGCAAGCAAGCAATATAGTTGCTGCTGCTGCTGCTGCTGCTCATGGTGGTCGGGGACGAATGCCGGACGGACTCATTCTCAATGGTGGTCTTGGGACCCGTCCACCGATTCAGACGGTGGATTGCAGTGGGGCACACATGCAATGCAAGGGGCCAAGTGGAGCAGGACGAGGACGAGGAGGAGGCTTTTCGGGCAATTGTTATTTGCCGATGGTAAGAACTTAGCTTTACTTCAATGCGTCGATAAATTCTTATTATGGGGTTCACTTTTTTCTTTTTCTTTTTCTTTTTTTAAAGTGTGGCGTTGCTTGCTTGCTCGTCTTCGCTGCAACTGGTGTCTCGATTTCTTCTTCCGCCTATTTGCTTGCTTTCTATCGCAGTCAATGCTTTGGAGCTCGGACTATTGCTAACCACAGGTCTAGCGTTCGTTTTTTGTATGTTATTTTTTCTAGTTCAACGGTGGTCTTATCAGACTGATATGGATGAGTGAGTGACAGTGTTGCTGCTGCTTCATGTGCAGTAACTTAGTCTAGCCTTTGTCAGTTCCATTCTTGCTTTTAGACTCCTTTTTCTATTGTTTGGCTTTACTTCTCTAGATGATGTCAGATGATGGGTTCCTGTTATGTTCTAGTAATTGGGTTTTGCAATGGATGTGTGGTGTTGGACACGAGCTGTAACCAGCCTTTGATAAATTCTCTTTGAATACAAATGGGTTTTATTTGAGATTCAATTTTGTTGTATGATTCATTCGATACTTTCATTTACAGCTTTTGTATAGTTTGCTTTTTAAGTAAATGGTTGTGTTATCATTGTGGACTATCCTTGATAAGTAGTGTTTATTGACTAATTAGTGTCAAGGATAGTCTGATAAAACATGTTAGCAATGTGTTTTTGGTCTGCAGTTGATTATGTTCACTTTCCAATGCTTGGTTTGCAATTTGAAGTGGGAAGACACTCTGGTGTTGTAACCAACATAATTATAAAATATAAAGTGTAGTTCATTTATTTCCTACTTACATAATTATTTTGTTTTGTTTTGTTTTGTTTTGTTTTTTTTTTTTTTTTAACAAGTTTTCACTTGAATTAATTTTTTTGTTTATATCTAAAGGATATTTTAGCAAAACCAAGTTCAATAATTGATGTAAAACATTTGAGTGGACTCTGTTTAAATATAACATACAAAATTTACAAAATAAAGTGCTTTTGTGTCGATTATATAGATCATATAACATTAGATTGGCATTTTGATAAACTTGAACTACATGAATACTTCATATATATATATATATATATATATATTTATAATTTATTTTTGAAGATTCTAGTAGCATTTTTTTGAAACGTCTTCATAAAACTGAATAAGATAAAAATCCAAGTATATTGCATACATTAAAGTACTTCTAAAAACTATGAGCGTAGTTTAGATGCTAAGTAGTGCAAGAAAATGTTTATTACAACTGTGATGCATTTAAAAAAAAATAAAAAATAAAAAATAAAATTGTACATCGTATTATTAAAAACGTATTTTAAAATTATGGGTCTATCAAGTCTGGTGTTGCTACTTGCATGCCAATTGAAGCAACTTCAAAAGTTGTTTGCATAGGTCTTGTAGTAATACCCACAACTCCAACACATTCTTAACACATGGATTTGTGCAGAAAATACATTTGTACTCACATGTCATATACAATTTAATACGTTTAGCATGAGAATATCTTATATTCCATTTGTGCCCATATTTACATATGCTTTACTTAAACAAAATATCAGGATCTATCAAGGTAATGTCAATGCTGGCAATACATGTTTTTGTACCTCTCTCAAAGCAAATATGTTATGTAAATTACACCTTGTTCACCACCACTAATTAAAAATATATATATATATATATATATATATATAATTTAGATTTTAAATATTTTAAAACTTTTAACTAAATTTTATTTTTAAAAATAGGTATGGTTAAATATTTTTTATTTAACAAATTGAATATTGAGAAGATAAATAAGCACTTAGAATCTACATAAATCTATATTTTTGCCAATAATAAACCATAGGTTAAGAAAACAAATGCAAGAATTGGATCCAAAATTGATTTTAAATCTTTATTATCTTTAATCTAATGTTGCAAAACAAATCTTAAAATAGTTCGTCATTTTTACATCCTTCTAAAGCTATAATCTTGCAAGTCTTATACTTCTAAAATCTTCTTAGAACTAAAATTCTAACCATATCTACAAATTTTTAAAATAATCTTGATTTGCTATATATAATTGTTTTTGTATTTGGAGTCAAATTTATGACTATATCTCACAATGCAAACATCTATCCTCTACCAACCTTACTATTTTTATATAGTATTTTGTACAATCCTAATCTTGGTTTGTTTTAGAAGTAATTTATTGTACTTTTTATTTTCTTTAATTTTTAAATCTTCCATATTATCCCTATCAAATAATGGCCTTAACAAGGTAGTTTTTATTTTTTATTTTTATATAGTTCAAATTTGTTATGAAGGGTATCTTGAAGTAAAAACATATCAACTAATTTTAATCTATTAACTATTCAGATATGAAAAAGTCTATAAAACTAGTTTTTGAATTATCTTTGTATATCATTAATCGTTATCAATCTACAGTGATAAAATAATAGATTTGGAGTTATTACATATCTTTATACCAAGTAGTTGTGTTATTAATAAAAATAAAAATTTCCAATGTAAAGCTTCAGTATTGGGTCTCAATATCATTTTTTCCAGCTTTGACTTTATAGTAAAATAAATTCATAAATATTATGAAATTAAAACATATGCAAAATAAAATTATATATATATATATATATATATATATTGTGTGTGAGTGTTCATATAGAAAATCTAGGATAATTTACTCAAAACCAATCATCTTAAATTAAAGTAATTTAATTTAAAAAAAATTAATAGGTTATCATTGAAAAAAGGATAAATATATGTATATTCATTTCAATCAAATAGAAAAATGATTAAACCAAATTACTCATTACTTTAATAATTTATAAATTATTCAAATTTTTATTACTATATATATAAGTAATTATTTTATATCATTTAAACAAGATCAAAATCAATTAAAAATATTGTGTATAATTCTTTGTATATAAGATTAAGACCAATAATAAATCATTCTATTATAGTCAGCAAAGAAATTAAAAAATATTTAAATTATTAATTTTTTTTTAATAAGAAATATTTTAGAGAGACATATGTTTGTAAATAATATAAAACTCAATCATATGTTTGTAAATAATATAAAAAATAAATTAAGTATTATAGGATTTTTAAATTACTTCTAGACCTTATTATATTATATATGGTACCAAACAATCTTTATATGGCACTAAACAAGTTAATTTATACTAATAATACATCTTTATATGGTAATAAAAAAGTAAATTTATACCAATAATACTTTAACATATTATAATAAAGAGGAGATAGCTTTCTTAAAAAAAAATATAATTATTCATTACATATGATTTAATAAAATTATAAATAAAAGACAGTGAATGGATGAATTCGTGGATTGACAGATGGATAAGGTCTAGTGACCGGAAGACCTGGCCAGCCGGTGAAGGAGTCCCCCCGTGTCACGGCTGCGGTCGCAGTACTTCGGGAGCCTCTTTTGCGTGGAAGCTATCCATATGGCTTTCTTCGGCATACCCCGTCAAATGAGCACAGGCAGGCAGGCACCAAGCACGGTGGCAGGGCCCACCCCGAATGCTGCGAGCTTCTGTAGCCCTCGTGGTCTCTCCTTCCTCGATGCGGCATCGGCTTTGCCGAGCTGCACCACATCGCAACCCGTTCGTTGTGCTTCGAGGAGGTTCTCGTGCGGAGGAGTGGCACCGAGCGGAGTCCACTCTTGCTCCCTTCGCTTTGCTTTCCTTTCTACAGTTCCCCTCAATAAACACGTGCAATTTCCACATTATATTTTGTAAGTAAAAACAAATTTTCATATAATATATATATATATATATATATATATTTGCACTATGCGCTTTTCTTTTTCACACAGCGCATAGATACAATTCCCCTCGGCGAAAAGGTGTTTACAGAATCTCAGGCGGAAAGGGTTCGCACGCACTGGTGATGAATGAATGTGGAGGAGAGGATACCCCCCCATCTAGGTTCTCATTCATCCACCCCTCCAAATAGCACGGGCATAAGGACCGGAATTGTCTGCCAGTCAGGCATTCAGTCATCCTTCTTCTAGAGGACCCAGCGAGCGAGGCTGTAATTGCACGGGGGCGCTGAATTTTCCCAGCGTATAAGCTAGCCGGCCCGGTCAAGAGCAGACACACCCGTGATCATATTCGGAGGTGTGAAAGGGGATTGGTGCGAGGTGGGGGGGGGGGGGACCTTATCAGAGGTAGCAAATCGGTGCTTCGGTGGAAGGAATGGAAGGGAGTACTGATTATTCCAACGAAGCTTCTTCCGCCTCCGCTAGGTCCCTAAAAGTCTTCGTTGTGATGTTGTTGTGGTGGTGACGTGTAGCTTAATTGAGGAAGGATGGCAAAGCTGCAATCGCAAAAATTCGTGGCAAGGATTGGATTCCTACGATCACTGGAACGGGAATTGAAACGGAGCTTGTGTTTGTCGGCATTTGCCCAGAGTCGCCACCCTAATTTATCCCTTCCTTGAATTCGTCCTCCTCCTTTTTCTTCCGTTATTATTACTATTATTTTTTGTTTTTTGGTAATGGAGACGCTTGAAGGCAAGTTGAGAGCACTGGAGTTCGTTATCGCCGGAACTCGGCCTGTGAAATAAACTTTGCATGAGAGGATGTCGAGTTCGTCCACTTAGCCCGTGCCTTGTGATGATGCCACATGGAGAAGGAGATTTCTCACTGATTGTGACATAGGGCAAGAACAAAGATAAGAATGCTGCGAAAATTTGGTTTCCCTCACTCGGAAGTATCTGCTAGACAAGTAGAATGAGTTTGGAGACATGGTGTTACCCGTTGAAAACCCAACTTCGTACCGATATTTCCAAGTGGTGATCCAATTTTGGTAGTGCGGGGTCCACATTTGGAGAGCTGGAAGCGGGCTGGTTGGGAAAGTCTTGCACTTGTTTTCGTAACTGGGAGCAGGGGGAGGAGAGTGACTGTCTGAACACAACGGCTGACGAAGACTAAGGGACGAGGCTCGTTACTTTTCCTCGCTTGGTGTGGAGAGAAGCCAGCCGTGGCGGTTGAGGTGCCGATTCGTTTGGAAACCGTGTGGACTATCGCATACAACGCTCTTGATTGTTTGGTACGCGAACAGATAGCATCATCGGAGCAGTGTGGGGTTGTTGCGGAGTCTGGAGAACGTTTGTCTTTGATGTTGCTGCTCAAAACGACTGTAGCAGGAGAGCGGGGTGATGGCCTGTTGGTGAATGGCAAGCAAGATACGACAGAGTTCCTCGACTAGTTAGCTCGGCGTCTGCATAAGCGCAGGGAAATCAAGAATTTTCGAGATTTTTGTAGACGGCACAGGATCGCCGTGTGGGCGTGCAATGCTTGGGAGTTGGAGACGGTCGATTTGAGGCCTTAAGTCAGGATTGAGTTGAATATTTGGAGAGAAGCAAGAGAGCAGGAGCAGGAGCAGGAGCTTTGGGGACCAGCCAATGAAGCTGTGGAGTAGAAGAAGGCCTTGTTAGTCTGTTTCGATGGATGGGATACTGATGATCGATCCTCCTGCTCAGAGACTCCGACGGGAGGGTGTCGGTTCACAATTAATCTTTGGTGTTCACAGGAGGGCGCTGGCATTACTGCTCTGGTTGTACGTTGTAGCCCTTGGCCTCCTCTCAGATTCTGCAGCTGCTCAGTGTGATGGGAGAAACGGCTTCACCACTCCTAAAGTTGAAGGTAGACCGAGTTTCTCAACCAATTGGGAGTTGATTGTTGAGTAGAGAAGGTTCTTTTATTTTTCAGTCGCACTTGGGATTGATTTGAGAGACTTCGTTGTGTTTGTGTGTGGTGTACAGTGGATGCACTCATTACTCTCTACCAAGGTTTTGGAGTCAATAACTCAGGGTTTTTCAACTGGAGGAATGGAGATCCTTGTCAGAACAAATGGGGAGGTGTCGTTTGTCAAAGATTTATGGGTTTAAATTGCAACACAACCATCTCGGGACTGTAAGGACCTTTTGCCCTCAAAGCACAGGAATAACAAACAGCTGCATATTCGTCTCTAAACAGGTCTAGAGATTGGCAACGGCACTCTTGATACAGTACTAATGGCGTAGGATAGCATTGGCACACATAGCTAGTCAGCACCCAGAACCTCGTTCTGATAGAAAATGAGAATTTGTCTCTGCTGAATTGAGCTAGGCATCTAGACTTGCTGTGATCATTGCATGCGGGGTTGTGACCAAGATGAAGTTGAGGTTCATTTTGTAGCCCAGTCATGACTACCTACATTTCTAGGGCTTAGGATTGATAAAATTTCCAAATTCCAAATTTAGCAACCTTGTGGTTGGGCTGATGACTCTTTTTCCCATTTGTAATTGCTGGTTGAATATGACTGAATATGTTACCTAAGTAGGAGGATAATTTATTTGCTGAACTTCCCGAGTAATTTATGCAGGCAATTGACGAATCTAAATATTGAAGGCACGCTCTCATCTGCGATCCAACATCTGGCTAATTTGACATTTCTGTAAGTGAATTCTAAGAATCCTGCATGTGCTCGGTTTTTCGATCATCGCATACCCTCATTGTATTGAGAGGTTTGTTCAGTGAAGTGAAGTGGAGTGGTATTCATTTTAAGGAAAGTGGAGAAGTAAGCTGCATTTCATCTTAAATTCGTGTTATTGGTATAGAATTTCGAACACCTTAGTAGAGATAGTACTGAGGGTAATGAGATCGATTGGATGAATCAAAACGTTCCCTTTCTGAAGTTTCGAGACCTGATTTGCGATTTGTATCTGGGTATACGTCAGCAGCTGCTAGCTATTAATTATTACTATTGAACAGCAATCCTATTCTCGTTCGTAAAAAGAAAATGCTTACATAAGATTCTCTTTTCAAAGTGCAGAAATATAATTGGAAATCCAAAACTGAATGGCCGTATACCTTCCGAACTTGGAAACCTGCCCGAATTAGTCATTCTGTAAGTTTCAAAGCGCTTGTGCGGTGGTTATTGTGCTTATCTAGTCAACATTTTGACAATGTTGCAGTTAAAGGTATCTATTAAGCCATTCCCAGGTCAAGCTGTTTGATCTCGTGCGTTTTCTCGTTTCGCAGAGATTTGCACAGCAATTGCTTCAACGAAAATATACCAGTTTTAAAAAATCTTACAAAACTGCAGTTTCTGTGAGTTTACCGTTCACCCATCTCAGCTAATAGGTCATGCTATCTGAACGTACTGTTGGTGATATTGAATCATGGCAATAGCATGTCAATGAGAACTTATAAAGGCCAGATGACGATCATTGCGTATGAAGATAACGATTTTATATTAGTTCCGTATTCGAATCACTGAACGTTTGAGGAACTGACTACGAATTTGTCATCATTCAGAGACTTGAGCGGAAACCAGCTGACTGGTCCAATTCCTCGTTGGTTAGGTTCTCTGGGTCAGATCCAACGGCTGGAATTATCAAATAATCAGCTCCGTGGTTTCCTTCCATTCGCAGCACCTAACAACAACACTGGTCTGGATAACCTGACTTTTGCTGTTCAAATGTGAGTTGAATCCGAGTAAACCATCTTGTCAATTACAGAACAATCACTGTTCAAATTAGACTACACAGCTTTTGCACATCTAGAACAGTACAACTACCTGAACTAGAGCACATTTGAAAATCTTATATCTGGAATGGGACTAAGTGCAGACTTTTCTGCATTAAATTTGTAGTAGGTGGGGTAAACCTAGTTTAATGTCTAATTTATTTGTTGTTTGTTACATGTTTGCAGGTCCTTTAGTAATAATTACTTGAGTGGCCCATTGGATAGTCTGGCCAGCCTTCCGAGGATTAGATTTTTGTGAGGATCTTCAGAAAACCTTGTGCATCTCTTGTTTATTTTCACAAGTAAACCATTTGCTGATCTCCACGTCATTCTATTCTAGGCATACAATAATGCACACATGCCAGCTTACAATCAATATGGGGGCCCCAGAAGATTTACTTAATTCATTGCATTCTGGATCAGGAATGGCAGCGATAATCAGTTCAATGGGACATTCCCTGTTAATCTTCTCAACGGGGATGGGAACTTGACAAAGCTTGTTGTGTTGGACCTTTCGAACAATAATATCTCTGGATCGTTGCCAACTGTGAGAGTTCAAGGTCTTCAAGAAATGTACTTCTGTTGCTCCTACTTCTTCAGCCTGAAAACTAAATATCAAACTATTATTATTATTATTATTATTATTCTTTTTTGAATACTCATCGCATGGACACCGCATCAATTCTTTCTACTAATGTTTCCTGATTTTCCTTATCCAGATATATGTCAAATAATAACTTGAGTGGCATTCTTTCGCCCAGTTTCTTAGAAAGCTATGATTTACGCAGATTGTAAGTGGCAACTATTTGCATCAATTTGTTTTGGTGCATTCCTCCGTCCGTTCTTATGATTCTTGTTGACCCTTCTAACTAAAGAACGTCCGTCATTTGTGTTCTTATGTTTATAATCTCTGAGCTTCGGTCATTCATAAAAAGGAACTTAGCAATCTATTGCAGTTGGACTCTTGTGCTAAATATGACCGGTTTTCAGAACACTTAGGTTGTCAGCGCAAGAAATCAGCTCATGAAGTTCTAGACAAATTGCATCAGATACTTTTGCTTCAAGTTGTTTTAAGTTCAGGACACCATATTCCGACATGGTAGTTGATCGCCAACAGTAATGGTTGGTCAGAGATTTAAGTGGGTGTTGTTGTGAATGCACAGGAATCTGGATCGCAACAATATATCTGGAAGTTTGACTCTATCGAACACTTCCAATTTGCAGTATATGTCGTTGGTCGATAACAACATTCAAGATTTTCAATTCCCACAAAGTTGGTGGACTGTGGCATCTCAACATTTAGCTCAAAATATATCCAGTACAAATTTGCTCAGCAATACTTTGTAAGCATTTTCATTTTCCTTGCCATTGTTGATACATATCCAGTATCTACTCAATGAATCCTAGCTATTTTTGTTTGTTATGTTTTGCTTTGTGTTATGTTGTTATTAGATAATTATAATTTAGATGTATTTTGTGATCATGAACTCCGCCGTTGTAAACTCACCAGATGAGAAGATCTCCAACTCAAGTCTCCAACTCAAGTCTCCAACTCAAGTGATTGATTGCTGCCTTTGTGGGAATCTTATTTGCAGCCTTGGTCAAAATCCCTACTGTAATGATCCTCAGACAGATTTAATGCTGCAAATATGTCGTTCAAATGCGAACGAGATCCTGACAAGAGGTTAGTAATATCAGAACTTGATTCTTCTGCTCTCCTTCGGAATTAGTTGTAATGTGTCTCAATGTGAGTGCTTTCACTACCCATTTCTTACAAACAAGCCTAGATTTTTTTTCAAATTTAAAAAGATCCTGATGGTTATCAGTCCTACTTAGTGCTGTAGTTTAAGTTTGAAAAGATCAAATCTTAGTAACCACTAACTCTTCTTTCATGGGATGCTATTGTGGAAGCAGTAGTTCGCAATGGCACCAACAACAAGATGCTGATAACTATTGGTGTCATTGCCGGATTTATTGTGTTGGTGGCTGCTATAATTGCTTTGGTCATTATTCGGAGACTATGGAAAAGGATCATTGTCCTCCGAGATATCCAACGTGGTATGTCTCTTCCATTTTTGGAGTTTAACATCTCTTCAGCACTTTCATGGATAGTTTGTTGTGGAATATGCATTATGAAACTTGCGAATATCTCCTGTTGTATTTCGATTCTAATGTCTGCCACTAACTGAAACCAGTATCACGTTTGACTTAATTGACCTGAAGCTTTAAGCAGTAGTTGAATCTGACATCTCGATAATTATAGGTTTTTGTCTCCCGTATTTTGACTGCCAAAAGCATTAAATTTTTGGAATACCTGCTATGATGTTAACTTTACATCAATTTTTTCTTTTTGATTGCAGAATTTGCGAAAAACGAAGTTCAACCTAACTTGTATTCATATACCGAACTGAAAGCAGCGACCGAAGATTTCTCTCCGAATAGGAGACTAGGTCAAGGTGGATTTGGTGTTGTTTACAAGGTAAGGAGTCATGCAATAATTTCAGCAATTAGTCGGATCTGTGATACATTTTCATTGTTAATAGAAATCTGAATTATGCCACAAAATCTTATTTATATTACAAATGGGAAAACAAATCTCGAGAAATTTTAGTACTGCTGATTTATTGCATCTTCCGTCTGACTTTTGTCTATATTCTATTTTTTGGAATGGGGTGGTTATGCAGGGCGTTCTTTCTGATGGCACAGAATTGGCTGTCAAACTATTAAATAACTCAAATCAAGTACTTGTTGAGTTTTTGAACGAGATTGTCACAATCACCAACGTGCGGCATAAGAATTTAGTCAAGTTGAAAGGATGTTGCGTTAAAGGAGACCAACGACTGCTTGTATATGAGTATGTGGAGAACAAAAACCTTGCGGAAGCTTTGTGGGGTATGTATCAACATCCCTGCGTGGCACCTAGTGACAGTGTCACCTGACTATGCTTCTGGAAATAAATGCAGCTGAGATTATATTTTACACCTGAAAATCCTTGAAACTAGCTGTAATTTAACCTTCCTGCAATCAACAGATGCTCCTTCAAAAGGTGGCCGAGACTTGGACTGGCCGACACGGTTCAATATTATTTTAGGGGTTGCACGTGGACTTGCATATTTGCACGAAGAAGTAACTCCACCAATAATACATCGAGACATTAAAGCTGCCAACATCCTTCTCGACAAAAGTCTTGACCCAAAAATTGGAGATTTTGGCTTGGCACTCCTCTTTCCAGCTCTTGATGACGATCGCACTCACCTTAGCGTTAACATTGCGGGAACCAAGTGAGTCACCTAGTACCCTAAACGCAAAATCTTCGATGTATTCTATTGTATTATCGTATAGCCTGGTCATTTTAGGGCTTTTCTCGTGAAAGGAAAATTATGAGCTTACCGGTTAGAGCGGTGATGGTCATTGCGCGGAGACTTGCATTCTAAGCGAAATTTTGTGCTATGTAGGGGTTATCTGTCACCAGAGTATGCAAGTTTCGGTCAAGTATCGGAGAAAGTTGATGTATTCAGCTTTGGAATCTTGGTTCTTGAAATCGTCAGTGGAAGGAAGAATATCAATTTGAGACTCCCAGCAGAACAACGATATATCCTAGAATGGGTGAGTAATGGAAGTTTGTGGTACTTCCCAGTGTCAAGTTGCTCCCACATTTTCTTAAATGGAAAAGACGTTTATTTTTCCATGCACACCAATGCCGGTATTAACATGGTAATTGTAATGTTGTATTATTTTGCAGGCGTGGAAAATGTACGAAGCAGAGACGTTACAGGATTTCATTGACGCCAAACTCGTGGATAAGTCCAGAGTGGAGGATATTAAGCATGTAGTGAAATTAGGATTAGCTTGTGCACAATACACAGCTGCAAGACGGCCAACGATGTCGAGTGTAGTGTCCATCTTATTAGGCCACCAGCCAATAGATAACATTAACAGAGAATCTGAATTTTCAAAAGGGCAAATGGAAGCCATGTTTGCTACACTACAAACGAGTTCCCTCACTCCGGTAGACGAAGATAGTCCTCTACTTGTTGGGTTGCCTACAGCAAGCGCAAGTGGGGCCTTCATTGAACTTGGGAAACTGAAACCCAGGTAGAGATGAACTCTTGTAATTGTCCGTTGCACAAAAGATTATAACACTGCATGCCATCAGCATCCACTTCTCGTCCACAAAAATATGGTAGTGATTGACGGATGTTTAATCCTTTCTCTACTTTTTTTTGTAATTGAACATACAATAAATGTCTCTACCTACGTAACAAACCGTTCGGAGTGAACAGTTTGTGATTACAGTAAAATCAAATGGTAACTCAAACCTATAAAGCCCATTTTGGTTTGTTCAAAATGACAAACTAAAGATATAGTTTAATCATAGCAACTTGGCCATGGTGATCATGATAACAAATACTCTACTGGCCTCCACCTTGAAAACAATAAAAGGTGCTAACTACAATTCTCCTTAATTGGAGGTAAGGTTGGCCACACTTTACTGTTCAACTCTAATACATAGAGGATGGCACGATTGTTCACATCATCAACGTCAAAATGTAAGTGATCATGTATCTTAAAGTAACAAGATCTTCCGCCCCTAGTTCTTGCGAACTTGCAACACTTGAATTTTGCAATCTCGAATAAAAGTTCCACGTTGCAAAATCCATGAATGTTTTTTACGCTGCAAAACCTAATGATACCACGTTAAAACGTTGCCTTGACCACCTGTAGAGTTATGAATCTCTGGTATAGCCTACCAATAACTGTAAAAATCAGAAAATCTAAATAGAAATGAAGAGTCATGCTGCTCCAAAACTTCCAGAGATTTGAAAACATCAAAGTTGCAACCCATCAAAGGATAAAAACTACGTTACTTTCAACAGTGAACATTCAAAGTTGACAAGCTGAGAAACTTACTGTGACCCTTGCCTCCAACGCAACCTATTCAAATTACTCGAATGACGAAGGTCTGGAGCACTCAATGAGAACAACAATGCCTCGGAGCTCAGTCGCAGTAGAAAACCAAAACAACTAGTGCCATGTCTACTCTACAGAATGCTATTCAATGAATTCCATTTCTCCCAGAGCTGAGACGCACGATCAAGAAGCTCCTCTGAGATGGAGGGATCCACATACGCCGACATCGCTTTTATGAGCTTGATGAACTGGTCGCCATTATCCTTCGGACTCTGACACCGAAGATCACCTAGACTGTAAGGTAGCATGTGGTTGGGTAAATCCAGCCTCAGAGAGAGCAATTTCTTGCTCATGAGAATGCCGCCGTCATCTGCCATCAAGCTCTCTCTCGGACGCTTGAGCTTCACCTTGTCTCGATTCTCCAAAAGATTCTCCACTGTTCCATACTCTTTCACGAGTTTTAAAGCTGTGACCTCTCCGACTCCAGGCAAGCCCGGGATGTTGTCTACCTTGTCGCCCATAAGAGCCAGAACCTCGAGGTACTGCCAGGGTTGGATATCCCCAAACCGTTTCTGAAATTCCTTCACGCCAAATGGGACAATCCCTGAACCCCGTGGGACGAATCTTAGGAGACGAAGGCGAGGCGAGATGATCTGAAAGAAGTCTTTATCAGGGGAAGCAATACTGACATGCATGCCGGCATCGACAGCTCGTACAGCAAAAGCTGCAATGGCATCGTCAGCTTCGACGCCTGCAACTTCAACAACAGAGATCCCGAGAGAGAGAAGAGCGGGTTTCAAGCACGAGAGCGCTTGGCACACAGTATCTGGAGTTGGGGCCCTGCCGCTTTTGTAAGCTGGGTATAGCTCGTGGCGGAATGTCAAGCCCTTGTAATCGAATGCAGCAGCGACGTGAGTTGGCTTGGTGTCCAGCAAGCGAATCATGGTGGAGAGCGCGGTGAAGACTGTCAACACCCAGTCGGCCTCTGAGCCCATGTCCTTGAGGCTCCCGTATTGGACCTTCGCCATAATCTTGAAGTACGCGCGGTAAAGAATGGCGTTGCCGTCGAGGAGGAGGAGACTCCGCTGAGATTCTCCCCCATCCCATGGAAAACTGGAATCGCTGGGCGTCTCGATGTTCAAGGGTTTGTCGTCCGGCAGTACATGCGTCGAAACTTTTTTAGACGCTACAATGGGTTGCAACGAGACATGCTGCGGAGTTGGGGAAGTTTGTCTTACTTGTGGCGATGATGTCCGCGTCGGCTGCGTGAACTCGGTGCTTGGTTGCTTGAACAAGCGGACATATCTAGCAGATGATGATGCTTTCTCGGCGAAGGAGGGCCTGTGCCAGGAGATGAGCGACACGGTCGACCATGGCAGCGAGGTCATCCTCCACATGGCCATTGTTCTGGTCTCCTTCGCTAGCGGCGACGCCTCTCAACTACAAATTGTGCCATTGCTGCAATCCTCGTAACCACTGTAGGCTGAAAATCTTAAACCTAATCTTCGAATAAGGATTGCTCCTGTACTTATTGAACTCATTCCCATAGACCCAAAACCCTGGAAACTGCCCTCAAATTGCCCCATGACACACGATGAGTAGCGTGGCAGCCATGACTCGACCTCGTAGCGATGGCAACAAAGGTGACTGCAACACCCAATCCTCGAAGGATGGAAGAGTAGGTACTCAAAACTTGAATCATTCGTAAGGTAAAGCATGTCCTGCAAAGATTATGGTAAAAAGCACAGAAAAGGTGACAATGTAGCATTTGGATAACCCGTCAGCACTTGAAAATTCGGGGACCTGTGGATAAAATCAAGGATAATAGATAACTTCGCTCATGGAAAAGCCATCATTCAAAATCAGCTGATCCATAAGCCAACAATTTAATTGACTTCAAAGAAGTTCCAAATGCACATTTTAGTAGAACGTTGTTAATCCCCGAAAATTGATTTACTACATAAAGAACTAATTTATCGGAGAAACGTTTCATGTATCCAATAGTTTAACATTCCAAGGTCTGTCAATGAGCTTCTTCACAACGCATAAGCTGCTAAACAAGGCGATAGATTGCGAAATTGCATGGATTCATCCCATAAAAATTCAATTAATAATATGTAATAAATTCCTTCCGTTAATTAAAGTGTCACTGCTTTGCACTAGACCTATTCGGATTAAATGACTTCTCAGATCAAAACTCATCAACATACTACGATACCAACAGAGACTTAAAAATTTGATTACTGGTAAACTCCAAGATACATTATCATGCGACCATGATCCAGATAGTTTCTTTCCTTTATAAATGTAAAACTCCTTGTCCTACATTACAGATAACCCTAATTTGGGAGCATAACTATAAGGAAAAATTGAAAACTCGAATCTTTACATGTGAACATGTAAACCACAATTACATTGTAAGGGAAAGTTGTAGTTTAGGACGATTCGGTTGAGGTTCAACTACTTCAATGTGCACACGAACAGAACTCAATACTTTGAACGTCCGACTTCCATCACTAGAGCGTATTATCTGGTTCTCATCATCTACTACCCACATTCCATCGACTGCGGTTTGCTTGGCTTCTTTCCCAACAAGGTATACTGGCCCTTCGATTCCGTACCTGCAACATTATTTCGATGATCGGTGAGCGTCGAGATATAAACAGACAACATTTTCAGTACACTATGCGTGTACTACTATCTCAAAAACATTTATCAACGAACTGGAAACAACTTAGAACAACCCCAAACTTCAAATGCAGATCATTATCCAGAAAACGATCATTATACTCCAGAACGTATACATATTACAAAAGGCGAACCGCTCCAAATAATTAAGCACGAAAAGCAAACAAGCTTGAGCGAGAAGAATCTTACTTGGGGACAAAAACTATGAAACCGTTTGATCGTATTTTTACGATTCTGGCCTCCTCATCAGTTGGCCTGGAGATATCAACATGTACCCAATCGGTGAAAAAAAGGGGAAGATTCACGACTCGCAATCTGAAAATCAAATTGCAGATAAACCACTAATGTCTGATGACAGAAAAACTCACCGCTTTTTGAAAAAGATAACTGTGTGAAGCTCAACAGATGCCCGACCTGCCATTTGAGCATTGCGGTGCCGGTAGTTTAAATCTGTACAAATCAGTAGGAAAGTCCATCAGTTAAAACAGCCAACTGCAGCCAGTCAGAATGTTGCACAATGTTCTTACAAAAACTACACAATAAGGTGCACAACACATTCTTGAAAAATGGAACAAAAACAAATGCAAAAAGATATCACGCAAGAGGAATGAAGTCCATACTATCAGAAAGGCTTGTAAGAGCTGAAGCATCTCTTAATTTTTCTGGTAGGGTGTTCAAACCCAAAGCTGCAGCAAGCAGTCTGTGAACTATTACATCTGCAAGTGAATATTCACATGGTTAATTGGTTTTACAACCTGCAGAAAGCATTTAGATGTACGAACACACCATGTAACTCAAAGAAAAATACGACGTTTGACCCACTCGAGTTGCAGCAATATACTAGACTGCCTACGATTCACCTTCGGCTGTGTCTCTTGCAGTAAACCGTCAATGAGCACAAACCTCCAATCAATTTCCTGAAGAAAAGAATAAAATGCAGAGCTAGAGTACCGGCATATCTACGAATCGGAGAAGTAAAATGTGTATACAAGGGTGCAGCAAGTCCATAATGAAGATATTCCGGATAGCTCAGTTCTCCACTGCAGAAGTACACAGCCTGTTCGAGAGGTATCGAAATGAAACATAGTCAAAAGATAATACTGGATCGAAGGATAACGGAGCAGAAAGGTTTCAAGCCCGTCTTGAACAAGTTTTTAAAGAAGGTCAATTTTCTACTCTGCAAAAACACACGTCCACCCCTTCATAACAATCCAGAACTATGAACAAGGTCAAAGGCACTAACCTGTGTCATACACCGAGTTGCCATGATTCGAATGAGCTTGTTGAAGTAAGGGTCGTCACCCTGCATGTAGGAAAAAGATCAATATCAGAAAACATCGAATAAATTTATTGGCTCTTCGCAAGGTCTACTACAAAGCAACAGGACATGAGTAAAAATAATCCAGACTTACCACAGCATGATCTAAGGCATCAGCAAGTGCCTTGGATGACGATATGTCCAAAGTCACTCCAACAGCGGCTGCTGTCCGTAACAAGGGTTCGAACATCTGAGGAGTGGGCTCTGGATGCCGCCTGTAAATTCAATACTCATTGATCAACGTCGCTTGCGCTATTCGCAGTGCTGCCGGCAAACATATCCAGGAGTAGTGTGGAACAGAAAAGACTGATTCACTAAGATACAAATACATCCTTACGGTGTTTTCTTTACATACTTTAATGCAACATCAAAGATTTTAGCAACTTAATGAAGTGCATACTTACTACGGAAAATATCAAAGATGTCCCGGAGTAATTGTAATCAATATCTGATGAACTACTCGTTGCCACATACCTTAGCAGAGAGCAAGAGGGAAAATGCTCCAATATCTTTGCAGCTACAGACATGTTGGCAGCAAGCATAAACTCCTCGACCATCTGATTGGCTTCTCGGACTTGATACATACCTGGATATCGGATTGCAAGTTAATTTTACCAAAGTGCTTTAGAGGAAAAAGTACACTAATAATGTTCCCACAAGCTAAATGACCAGTCAAGTACTATCGGCTAAACCATTTTGGAAAGGAACGAGAAACCCTTACCAACATCAAGTGGGTCATGTGTTTCTGTATCGATTTCAAACTTGACTTCAGGCGATGCGAGGGTTAAAGCTCCACGCTCAATACGTCTTAATCTCATGATCTGTTAAACCACAATGCATGTCAAATACACTTTAGTAATAGTGCTTAAATAATGCTAGTGCACCACCCTCTTAAACAAGGCGTATCCAATGTCACACTAACTTCTGAATACTATATGAAGGATCTACTACTATATCCCTACTATTCAACCACATGCTGGAGCAAGAGAAACGTTAACCGTGATGTCGAGGTGATTGAAATTTCCTCAGAAAAACGCCAAAATCTACAAAACCAGATGTACAAAACCAAATAATTTTATAAACAAAAAATAATTCACTACTAATCAATATTGATACGTGCCTTGGCTAATCTATTCATGTTTCGAAGATCCGTAGTTAATCCATCTGTAAGACGACTGCCACATGCCACAAGGAAAAAGATCAATAATCGTCATTGTGGTCACGCTGAGAATCTTGTGAGATGGAAGCTAAGTGCAACCGAACTCATTTTAAAATTTCATATGATCTCCAAATTAGCGATACAAGGAGGTTTGTGTTAATGTGCGTCAAAATCCAAAGCATAAAGAAAGATAAGTAAGCAAAAGTTACCTGTCATCCATGCGAGTTTGAGCTTCGAGGTACGACATAGCAGCGCATGACTTGATCACACTCTTCGTAAACCTCACAGACTCGATTTCTGCTTCCGAGTTCATCACCTAGTAGTTGCACAAAAAACAATTAATATCCTTAGGTACAGATTTCGGACACTACAACAAGGACAGATAAAGAGTCAGGAATTTGAAAATTGAAAATAAAGCAGCGAGTTCCAGCTCATCAATCCAGCTCATCAATCACAAATTTGACAAAACATTGCTCCTAGGATGTCACAGTAGGATTTAAAACAAACCCAAATACAAGAAAAGGCGAGCCTTTCGACATCAGCTCGAAGAGAACATATATCTGCAAAGAACAACACCATACCATCTAGAATGTGAGCTAGTTTTTATTTTTATGTGTGTGTATATATATATATATATATATATATATATATATATATTTTCCCAGAAAAAAACTATGCATATCACGCTGAAAATGGAGGTTGCAACAAAATGGTTGCTGGTATTTCTGCTTCGTGATAAAACCTTCAGTCAAAGGTTTTGGGAGCATATCAATGCGCCTTTCCACCAAGTATACTGATGTGCCCCGCTGTGATGCTTCCTCATCCAGTGGCAAGTTTGGGAGCACAAAATTGGTGACGTCTGCGATGTCTGTGATGCGCCGACTTTTTGATCAAGGAAGTTCCTATTATTTATGTCCCTATCAATCCCTGAAAATGTAACAGAAAAGGAGAGGGCAAAGGCAAAGAAAGTATAACAAAAATCAATGAAAAACCAATCATATGGAGATACGGACTCCAACTTCGTAATGACCATCAGGCAGTAGTGTACAGTGAAGCGCATCATCAATATCCCTGCAGCCTGCAAAACGGTAAATAATATAAGATACATTGTGCTGCTTTGTAAATAATTGAACAACTAATCACAAGGAAAACATTCTTACCAAGAGGATCGACGCTGAAAACACGTATATGACGCAAATCTTGGCGCTGGTTATTCAAGTGCTCCTGTTCTGAGAAGGACCACGGAAGTGGTGGAAGGCATGCCAACACTGCTTCGGAGAAGGGTCGACTATTAATGTCATTTTCTAAGAGAAGTACCTGCAGGAACCAAATGATGTCATGATCGACACGATTCAACTTCCTTATCCATCAGAAATGACCATGATCTCTAAGCAAGGCCCCAATACACCAAAAAGAGGTTCATACACTTCAAGAGAAACATTGCAGACTTACATCACTTTCTGTTGCACGGTCTCCAATTTCTCCAATAGTCCGCACATAATGTCCATTAGGATACCTTGATGTGGGCTCCCAGGAATCCACTGATACCATAATACGCTTGTCAATGAGATTGGCCAGCTGACGGGTCTGAATGCGAATTTTCGGGATCCTACGGTCAGCCGAAACAAACAATGCTTGCACAGTGCCTCCACTACCTCCAGGCATCTTCATTGGTTCTATAGAGCCACAATATCTGGCAAATAAAGAAGTACAGTGATTAGATGCGATCAAACACGCGTGGATTCTTTTAACTTCGACCGTAGGAAGAAAAAATTTAAGGATCCTTACTGACGCCAGTTGCGCTTGATGATACCAACAACTCGTCCAGTGGGTCGACTTGGAGCAGACTTGCCATCCACGGCGTCAACCCTTAGATTTCTAGGAGCATCATCAGCACTTGCGGGGACCAAGCCGACCGGCTCTTCTTCTTCCTCGTCTGCAGAATGATTATTCTCAGTTAAACTCCAATTATCAATTCATAAACATCAACCATCACAACCAAAACAGATATGTACTTACCGTCTCTATCTGCGATCTTCCCTGCTTCACTTCCAGCCCAGGAAGATTGGGGCAATAGCTCAACGGCAACAACGTCACCATCAAAGGCACGATTCATATCTTGTCTGCCTAGAATCAAAATCTCGCTCCCAACACTTTCACTTCCAACATACGCTTCGAAAGGATTGTAACGATTTACCCGTAACTTTCCCTGGTGGAATCTTCCGTTGTGTAGACCAGCTGCAATCTCTGACATAACTTTGTGCTGTCATCGACCCATGCAAATTAACATCAGTATAAAAAAAGATTAGGTGATACATAATCAATGCTTCCAGCCAATTAATACACAACCATTAGGAACGAGATACAAACACCTTTGTATTTGGTACTAATTTTAATTATTATTCGATCGTACTTTTTAAAAGAGTACCCCTTAAAATGTTTAAATGTACCTCTCCATAAACAACTGCCTTCTTGTTCGGGCGTATGTCGTCCGTGTCAACATCCATGGCATCATTTCGTGCGACCAGGTCCAACAATTCAGGTTTCCCTAATGACTGGACATATGAATCAACTGCAGAATAAAACACCCAATGAGGTAGTCCATCCTCGCTTAGAAGTATGACACTAGGGTCATCTACACTTGTTAAGCGATCGGTCAAACTTACTTTCGGTAAACAGTCGTACAATAAAAAAAAGGGAAAAAGCCAAGCATCAGAACAGGCTCCTTCGGTCGCTATGATCTTGGAAGCCAAAATAAGTCGGAAGTAGTGATATTCACGTATTCAACTGTACTTATCGACTCAAGAACAGATGAGGTGATCCTGTATAACGGCACCTAGAATATTGAGTGGAGACAAAGCCAAACGTACTTATCACTTCCCAACACAAGAAGCTGATAAAGCAGTTATTAAAATAGAAGTCAATTTACCTGTCTCAGCCACAATACCATCCTCACGCGCTTTTCTTCTGTTGTCATTATCATTTGTAATCAATACTACCTTCGCAGCTCCAAGGTGATGCTGGTACCATTGACTCGCCACTCTAATGGCTACAAATTAATGTTAAGCCAAGAATTAGTAATACTTCTAAAACCTCAGCATACGCACCTAACAACTCGAACAAACTCGAGCTCCATGCAAGCTCAAAAACGATAATGGAAAAAGAGTGTTCAAAATATCATACCACGATCATTTCGATCGTTTGGCGTCTCGTTAGCCAAGGATTTTACGTAGGTATCTCTACAGGCATGCAAAAGAGATGGTCAGTACGACCATAATCATAATCAAAAAATGTAGTTTTCGGGTCGTTGGAGCAGAAGTACGTAGCTTTCATGAATCTGGATAGCATACGCAAGTGTACAATTACGGTTTCAGGAATCATACTTGTGATTTTCGTTGGAAAACACAAAAAAGTGACGCAGTGGGTTGTCGATAACAGCTCGGAGGCGATTATATGTACTCAGGTTTTTATTCTTCACTTCTTCCAAGACCACCGAAAGGACCACTACATCATTCATGATTTCATTCTCCAACAAATCCATCTGATGCAAGTACGAAAGAAAATAAGTTTGGGCAATTTTAATCTAATTTCGAAACTATACAGTTTTCTGTCATTCTCATCAATGTTAGAACGAGGTATTCTCCTTGAAGAGGACCTGATGAAGAGCAACATTGGTATCAATCACAATTATGTTGCGGGCAGTCTCTCTCAACTTCGCCCTGGATTTATCACACGTTGCGCAGAACAGGGCTCCGCACGCTATATCATCTCGTAAATAGTGCTCCCGAACCACCTGCATGTAAATTAAAATTCACTACATTAAACTTATCGACTAAAACCCTTCAATCGTAAAACACAGCAATCAGTCCCTCAACCTAAACTACATCGACCAGCTGCTGTACCTCATCATTTTTCTAGCCTTCCAATTGCAATAAATCGTTCAAGAGAAAATCTGAAAGTATGCTCAACTTTCACTCAGCAGCTGAGTAATCCCGAAACCCTAAAAGCCAAAAATCCCCAAACACTACGCCCAAGAGAAAGAAATCGTTGCTTCATCAGCAAACCTGCCTTCACAACTTTGCCATGACGAGTTTTCCGAACGAAAGACTTGTTGGATAGCATTGTAACAGCAGAGCGCTACACTAAGCACCAGAAACCTAATCACAAAAACCCGAAGAAAATGCGCAAATACACGCCACTACACGATTCGGGGACAAAGGTCCAACAAAGGAGCTCAAACGAACTCCACGCGATAGATAGAATTTAAATCAAGCCTTCGAATCATGTGATTCTCGAACAAACTCTATAGCTCTCTGTTGGGACGGCGTTCAAGAGTGAAAGGGCTCTGACACACTTCGGAGAAGAGAGTTTGCAACAGAAGGTTTCATGACTCGTTCGTTCAATACTTGACTTCTACGACAGAGAGCATTTGCTCAACGTTTCCAGGATGAAAGCTGCTGTGCGAGAATGTTGAGCGGCTATTGTTGCGGACAAATTCAGCCTCAGTCAAGCACAGTCAGTAAAGTAAAAGAGCTTGCAGCTAATGGAATGGAATGGAGCGAGCGAGGGAGCGAGGGAGGATACACTAATCCTCACAAACCCCGCGAGAGAGAAGGAGATTCTGAGGAATTGCAAAACCCTAATTCAGTCATGTCTCTTCTTATTTATTTATGTCACCATGTGGTTGTTGGTTATATGGCCTTTGCTTTCAAACATTGTTGTCTAATATTTGCATTGCTTTTGGCTACCCAAATACACACTTCAATTGTTGTATGTAGTAAAATTTCATAATTCAAAGTCTACAAAAATCATTGAAATTATTGGATTTTTCAAAAAAAAAAAAAAAAAAAAAATGTAAAAGTTACAAGATAACAATGAGTAAGTATACAAGAATAATTGTAATTTTAGTTGTATGTTTATATGAATCTTAATTACAAGACTTCATATTTATTTTTAAATTTCTATTAAAACTTGTTATATATTTTAATAAAATTTAATTTAAAATAATTATGTTTGTACAAAAGGTTTTTAGAACACTCTTACTACTTTAAAATAACACTCTTACTACTTTTAAAAAAATAAAAAATCACATAAGTAAATTATAAAAATAAAACATGTTAGAAATTTTTAACATGTAAAAATATGAATCAGAGGATCTTTTCTTTTAAGAATTAAAAAAAATAAGTTACTAAGATTTTAGAACACATTGTATACACATTATTATTTCCTTGTGATTTTTGTGGATTGCTACAATATGGATGAAAATCACAAAATAATGTAGTTGAAGTATGGACCTCACTAATAGTGACATTTGCATATATGCAATCTAGTAGAATAACAATGTTTATGTAAAAATGTGTGATTTATCAATTAAGAAAGAATGATGTCATCAAAGGAATGTTTATATATTGCTACCACCATACTAAAAATATCCATGAGATAACAACAAAAAAATGGAAGATTAATTTGGATGGTGATTAAATGAATAATAATTCTATTAAATGTACTTAATTTATAGAATGAAACAGTGACATCTTGAAAACTTCAATGCGAATAGAAACTAATTTGTGAACTTGAATATTGTACCTCATGGTGTTAGATAATGATATTTTTCTATTATATTTTGAATTAAAAAAACATATGATTATGATACTAATTTGGTGCTAATATGTTTTTATTTGTAATATGTGAAAGTTTATAGATACATAAATGTACATAAGTTTTATTAGTAGTATTTCTAAGAGTTATAATATCTTTACATGTAAATATTTAGGAAATTTAATGAATCAAATAAAAACCATGAATGAAAAATTGTATGTGATATTATTTAGATGGCATCAATTTACTTTTCATATTGGAAAATATAGATTTAAAAAATAACAATTCAAGTTTTCATAAGTATGCACATATATATATATATATATATAAAGGAGAATGTTAAATAGACCTAGGTTTTTACTAAATTGACCCTTCCATCTCAACTATCATGAAGAAAGAGAGAGAAAAAAAAAAAAAAGAAAAAAAAAAAGACTTCTAGATTCATTTCTCTACTACTAGATCTAAAACCAATGAAAACCAACCACATTAATTATAATTGCAATATTCATCATTATATGTAGGTAAATTTAGTAAAAACTTAGGTCTGTTTAACATTCTCCTTTATATATATATATATATATATATTCATACATACATATATTCATTTAAGAATTGCACTATTTAAAATTAAAATAAGATATATCAAAAGCATTATACTTCAATATCAAACTACCAAGAATATTGAAAGTTTTTAACAAGTGAATTAGATTGAGTTATCACAAACAAAAAATATAATTTTTAGATTTGATTAGTTAATTAATTAAAATAAATACCTATTACTATATTTGTGTAATATCAATTAAAAGTATAGGATGACACAAAAGCATTAAAATATGTTTACAAGAGATATAAAAATACTGCTATTATGAAATTTAAAAAGAATCAACAAAATATAATAGTGGTTAATTTTAAGAAAACAACATGTAATCCAAAAATGTATTAGTTTGGACAAAAGATTGTTGCAAATTATTCTTGGAAATATTTGAATTTTATAATTTAAAATTTATATTTTTACATGGTAAGAAAATAAATACAAAATATTTAATTTTTTGAATAATTAATCAAACATATTTAAAACATATTTTTGAAACTATCGTATCTCAATGAATGTACCATCTATAATATAGAAATGTGCAAAAAATTCTTTATCATATCAATAAAATTTAAGAAATTAGATTGTGGAGACATCATATTGATTTTTGATTTAAAAAAAATAAAAAACATGAAAAGTTAAAAATCTCAAAGCCCACCACATCCCCAATCTTGACACAGAACCTGAATGTACACAGGAATCCGATGTGCACCCACACTGGAAGAGCAACAATGAACCGCAACAAAGTCGAGGTCGTGTTGTAATTAGAGCAATAAACAACAAAAATAGAAAAAAAAAAAAAAAAAAAAAAAAAATCCACACACACACACACACATTGCTTTGTTTTACACTATACTAATGCACTACACATGGAGATGGTGGCATCAGATCACAGAGGTACCTACAAGGGAAGAGAGGCGAAGAAAAAAACAAAACAAAACAAAAAGGGGGAGGAGAAGCATGTACCCATCTCTCAAGGCCTTAGTCCATCTACAACATCTGGACTGGAATGACCAGTCTGCCGCAAAAAGACTTTCTATTCGGGTTAATTCCCCTAGAGCACAGGCCGAGAATGGAAACACAACACATGTGTCCACATTGCTTCACAGGTTGCTGATTTTCTACCACATTGATCCATGTGTGGGGGTGTGTGTGAGAGTGTGTGTAGATTCATCTTTCTACAAGGGGAATAATTTCTTACTCCAACAATGATGTCCATGCTTCTTTCCGATTCAGCGACGGTGAAATCTCAAAAAGTGTCACTTCTGGTGACTCCGGCATGGTTAGCCTCTGCATATCGTCTTCGGTGAGGCTCCTCAGAACATGCACATCCTCGGGCTTGTCTTCACCCAAGGTGGTGGAGCTTGCAATGGAATGATCCGAATCCAGCACTGTCTCTGAGATGTCCCCATGGCATGCCAGCTCTGTCCACAGATCCCTGGAAAACGCGCTGGAGTCGGTCATGGTGCTGGAATTGCTGTTAGTTTTCAGCGATGGAGGGAGTTGCATGTCACCCTCGTCCATTTTGAAGTCGAAGAGGTCGAACTCTTTCCCTAATAGGTCGTTGCAGTCCATAGGTTCCTGAGGCTCCTGCAGAAGAGGTGGGAAACTGGGTTCTGCTGAGAGTTGCAGTTCCTGAACAGGTTCCGGCTTTGGATGTCGTGGCAAAGGCTCGAGAAGGTCGTAAGAAAGCGCTACCTCTGCAGCCTGATGCTGCGATAACGAGGTTGCAGTGTCCAAAGTTGCGGATGGGTCTGGGTCGGTAAAAGACGCTGCACTGTTGTTTGGTTTCCCAGTGTGCTTGGCAGGAGTTCGTTTGGCCGTCACTCTCTCACTTTTAGCAGAACTTCGGTCATCTGCCGAAACACACAAATAGAAAATGTATAACCAACACTTAACATTCAAAGACGCTGTTACAGTCTTCCACAAATAAACCAGGCGAAATCCTGGATGACAATTGGCCATAAAAAAACAAGCTAGGAATTCTATCACAGCGATGCCCATGTCGTCGGAAAGATCTTCTTCGACCACACGTGAGAGAAAGAGCACATTTCATTTCTGAACACAAAGCAATCGAAAGACGAGGAATCGTATGATGAAAAAAATTGTTGACCTGAAATTGCAATCTCAGCAGAGGAAGCTGACGTTGCCGAGGTGGACGCGGTGCCTGCAACAGGGCTGGCTGTTTCACCAGGAAGGTTGAGAAGAGCATTAGAGCCGTAGAGAACCCTAGCAGCGGAGTCATAGGCAAGAGCTGCAATTTCCGCTGTAGGATATGTCCCCAGCCAAAGCCGTGAACCACGATTTGGCTCCCGGATTTCGGCCACCCACTTCCCCCAAGTGCGTTGCCTTACACCTCTGTAGTTACACATGGCATTCTCAGGCCCACCCTTTCCCTTCATGCATCCTTTCTTGGAGCCTCTGGCGGGGGCCTTGCGAATTATTTTCCTGGGTCCATTGCTGTCATCAGCTTGGTTCGCTCCTGCCTTCCCTCCAATGCCGTTGTTCCGGCTAGCCCACCACGCAAGCGTTTCTGCTACAGAGCTGCCATGTTGCATACTGGCCGGAACGTTGTGTGAGCGCTTGCGCCGCCGTCCTCGTGTGATAGTAATGTTTCGCAGCGCAAGCTGCGACGGGTCCGACTTTATAGAATCCAGTATTCACCAACGTACCTTCCTCAGTCCAAGAACGCTGTTGTTGTATTCCTCAGGTTGTTTCTGACGTTGAGATTACAACCAAGAACGAACTGTTCTGACGACAAGAGCTAACGATCATCAACCGCAACTGTGTCCTGGAGTAACTTAAGCAAAAGTGACAATGTCAGTAACTTCAGCGCATCTGCAGTTCTGTTCAATTCAAACAACCCCCTCTCATCTTGAAACTACTCATCTACGGATACCAAACCGGGATTATGCAGAGAAGTGCCGTTATTTTCTCGCTTCAACTTCAAGTCTTTCACGAATGGAAACAAATGGAGAAAGGAACCATGTCCCGATCCATCATCTCTCCTACTGCTACCACTGATTCCAAGTCCGTGTCAGTTCCTAAACCAAGGGAATCGAGGATCAATCAACAACTAAACACACAACACGGGCATATAGCACAACCGTGGCGACCATGTCCATGACTGCAACCAGCACATGAATCCCGAAGCCCGACGTCAGTCTCGTGTGGATCCTGCTCGGATTTTTCCCATCTGAGAGCTACAAGCTGTCCTGAGCAGAGGAGCGCGAGACAAAGGAGGGCGTGACATGGACATGACCCACAAATCAAACCATGACATGGAAGAGACAAGAATAATTAATCTCATCAAGACATGTCGCAACCAGAGTTCGGCACCAAGAAAGAGGTGAGGGGATGATGAGGCGGGGTCTCAAAGCCACTCCACACCACTAGTTCCCGTTTTATTTATTTTCTTTTCTTTAATAGTTTGCCCCTATTTTTCCTGCCTTTCCATCGCCTCACACTCCCACCCCAACAGCAACAACGCAACACGTGAGACAACACACCTGACGTAGTGCAGTGAAGTCTCACCTGGTTTCTAATCAGGGAAGAAAGGGAAGCGGAGATCCTGGCATTGAACACACACACTGATTACCCATCAGGGGGCCACGAGAAGAAGAGGAGGTGGTGGTGGTGGGGCAGGACACCAACCTCGCATCCTCACAGTGATCTAGTGAAGCTCCACGCGGAGCTAACAACGCCCGCCAGAGGGAGAGAGCAGGGCAGGGACGCAGCCAGCCAGCCAGCAAGCAAAGCAAGCAAGGGGAAGTGATTGCGTGACATGGAGATTCAATTTCCTTGACTCAGATCGCAGTTGCTATGGTGATGAAGAAGAGGAAGACGCTGGGGTCCCGCCAGCTGGACAGAATGCCACGCAGGCATGCCAGTTGGCGGCACCGGGATCTCTTTTTCTGGGCCACGGGGGCCAGTTGTTCCAAGTTGCTTCATCCACCTCCTCCTTCACCTCCCTTCACACTCTCTCAGGCCCTTCCTTCTTTCCTTGTCAGCCCCACTTTCTTCCTTTGCTTGCTCAGCGCTGGTCTTCCTCTGCTCCTGCCCCCTTGTGATTCATTCTGGTTTTGCCCCTTTTTATGGGTGTTTAGTGTTTTTGCAAGGGGTGTAATTAGTGTGTTACTTGTGAGTTTTTTTTAAATTGTTTTTGTTTTTCGGGTGAGGTTAGAATCCTTGGGGGGGGGGGATTGTTGGAGTTGTGTTGGGTGTGGAGTTGTGATGCAGATTGCTCTTTGCTTGGTGGGACTTTTGATGCGTGCAACAACTGCATGCAAATCTATACATATACCATTTATATGCATAAAATTTAATAACATATTCAAATTCATTATGTTAAATCTTTTTCTTTTATATATAACATTATAGTATACTGGATTTTTTATTTTATTTTTCTTTTTTCTTTTGTCCTTTGAAAAACCATCGTATCATGCAAGCCTCTCAGAACTCTAATTTTAATCTTTACATTAACAATATATTGTTTCACTTGGAAATTTCTTAAAATTTATAGATTTCCTTGGTTATATTTTACTGTAGATTTATGATCTGTATTGAAGACAAGTGTTGATATAATAGTTGCATGTATTACATATAATGTATACACATGTAGTCATAGAGTGGCCCAAGATTTACTTAAAACAATAATAGGGATGATACCTACTCTATATTCAAGAATTATGGGATTTTGATGTTTGAAAAACCAAAACATTTTCATCATTTTCAATCATATAATATCATTTGAAGTAGCCATTGCGCTTCAGCTACTACAAATTATGTATCATTAATTACAAGTGGTTGAGTTGTAACACCACGAATAGCATTTAGATCAAGTTAAGTGGAATTGGAAACAAATGAATTTTGCATACAAAGTAAAGTTAATGCTTGGTCCAGTCAGTGGTGAATTCCATTTGGAAATAAAATAAAAATAAAGAATCATTCAAGTTCTGATTATGCATTAAGTTGGATTTTCATACATTTCATGCCACAATGATAATGTTATATTTTTATAGTTAACATTATTATTGTTATTGTATGATTGTGAAGTACGAGGTCTTTTTAGTTTTGGAGTTTAACGCTATACAGAAGTCAAAATTCATTTGACGCATTCATTTACAGTCTTCAAGTGGAATCCATGCATGGTAAAGAAACTTTGATTCACACCAATTGAACTCACAACCCTAAGGGTTTCAAACTTGTGTGTTGAGGTCTGAAATACATCAGCATACAATACCAGCGCACGAGGATCTCGCTCTAGTGATTACTCGAAAAATGTACTGTAATTCTCCTGGACTCTATCACTTACAATCTCTCAAACGCCCTGGTGCCCACCTGTCGACTGAGAACTTGAAAGGTCATATTGGTCATGTCTAATAACAACATACACAATGAAAAGGAAGTTTCAAGATAGTTGCAAGTTTATTCACCCAAAATGTGAACATGAAAGCATTTTGTAACCATCAGCACAGCAAGAAATGATGATGGTCCTGTGCAACCAACACTCATCTCAAATACTAGTGCTGCTGTGATGCTGTGGCACTACCTAGCCACTAGGCCTACGAGAGGCATGAAGATTGTTGTCTGTTCCACGCAGCAAGTTGTAACTCAAGATGAAAAGGTTAAAGTACTTGCTAAATGACACAATTCTGAAGATTTACGAGGATTTCACCGTGTCCTTTCTCGTGACATCAATGAGGTGGTAGAGATCGCCACGCCTTTGAGACTCAAGTGGCATATTTTGCCTGCAAAAGGAGGAGGAATAGGAAACCAAGTAAGCACCTTGACACTGGCACAGTGATGCTAAACAAGAAATACTGGATCATCTAGACTTGTGCCGATGTCAAGGTACGCGACCTGCGAGATAGAGTGGTCCAGAATTCACGAGGTCACCGCTTGGTCGATCAAGAGCCGAGCAATAAAAAGTACGCTGATTCAACGGCTGCCTTAGAACACATGCTCAATTTTGTTTTCTCCAAATACAAGTAGGTGCGTACCACATTAGGAGGGAAACGTTCCATTTCCTATATGGGAGAAATAAATAGTGGAACAAGAGTCCTACCTTCTTGTATCAAGTTGAGAATAGTCTATGTCTGCAAAGATGGTGGCTTCCTCGTGCTCAGTGGTAGCCAGAATTTCACCGAACTGTTACATGACACGATTAACACACGTCAGCAGCTTTCTGATCGCTTAGTTGTGTCCAACCTCTGGCGAAAATGTAGTTCGGTTTTATGTTTGGACATCACGAGTTTGAAAGCGCGCTACATGCCAACATGGCATATACAACTAATGAAAATGCAAGAATCAGAACACAATCGTCGTGTATTTGCAAATGTGAAGGAAAGACTCACGGGACCAACGACAGTAGAATGACCCCAAGCGATATACCCAGCTTCAGTATCTCGGGCTGGTGAACAAGTCACAACAAATATCTGTGGCAACATTGCCAATGATCGTCATAAAAACAAATCAAAAGTACCAACACCTAGGATCCTCCTGAAACTACTAAAAACTTAAGAACAAACAAAACAAATTGAGACTACGACACCTTCTAGGGTCCTGTTTTACTAAGCATCGTATCATAGATCTGATCTTAAAAAGAAGGGCATGCATTTAAGAAAGCACGAAATTGTACCTGGTTGTCCACAGCTCTGGGCCCCAAGAAAACAACATCCATGCATCAGCAGATCCACAGGATATCAGCTTACAGCCAAGACAGAAACAAACAAGTGTGTAATTACTAAATGAGGAAAAGCAACAAAGGAGGAGCATAACAAATGGAACAGGAAATTGGCAGTAGACCTAGCCTTCTGCAATAGTTCCCAATGAAGAGGACCGGTAGTCATGTTGAAAGCTCCTGGATAGCAAATGATATGCGCCCCTGTACATCCAAGGACTTAATGAAGGAACCTGCGATCGTAACACTCTACAGAGGATCCGGAATGCGTAGAAGAATAACTACAGGAGGTAGTGAGCATGAAGAAGTAAGAGTACCACGAGCAGAATATAGCATCGCCATCTCAGGAAAGCGAATATCATAGCAGATTCCAACTGCAATTCGGCCTACATCTGCACAGAAGGAGATGGGAATGTAGTAAGATCAACTAAAAAACTGATAAAACGGGCTTAGGATGTGTTCTCGTCTAGTCAATAACCCCAAAGCAATGGATGTTAATGGCTGTTATATCATCCTCTGAAAATGCTCACCCGTGTCAACAACACAAAGTCCTTCTCCAGGAGTTAACGTATCAGATTCTTTGAATGTAATTTTTCCGGGTATGTCAATATCAAACAGATGAATCTGATCACAACCAACCAAATCAATCAAGTTATTTCTCGGTCCAGAGCTTGAACCGCTAGGAGCGTGAACGAATTTGGATAGGCCTCTACGCTAGATAAAGTTCGATTCTACTCATCAAGTTTGATTACTTCTAGTCATGTGCGCTCTCTAAAAAGAATGAGCTAAATTGAGTTGAAAGCTGCATGAGATTTCAAAACCTTGCGAAACTTGGCCTTCAATTCCCCGTTCTTGTCAAAAACACAACAAGTGTTGTACAATTTTCCATCATTTCGCTCAGGAATCGATCCACCCACGATGGTGACTTTTTTCTTCCGTGCCACCTCGGAGAGCATGTGCGAGGATGGAGATGCTTCGAGTCCAGCATCGATGTCTTCTGCATATGTAGGGAAGCTATCATTCGAGTATGGACAGTTCCACATCTCCTGATACCACACAGCACACGGTAATTTATACGAGAAAATGTTACATACAGTAGAAAGCCCCATATTCGACAAAGTATGCACTCCTAATTATCCGCAAAGCAAATGACAACAAATCGACTTAAGTCAACTAAGCATACACCATACAGCAAAGAAAAATGATATCATATAGACCATACTAATCAAGTCCACATATTCTACAGCACACTCCTTAATGATATAGCCATACTCGGAACGTAATATAGTCGGCACTCTGATTCTAGAAGTCGATCATGCGTATTTCTCATAATTTACAACATCCTCAAAAGCGATGAACTCACAGGAAGGACAATCAGTTGAGCCCCGCTATCAGCTGCAGCCTCGATTTTCTGCCGGGCATGCGCTATGTTTGCCGCTTTGTCAGATGTTACAGAAAGCTGGCACACGGCAAGCTTGTACTGCGACGACCATAACCACACTAACTCAGCTCCCATGCTTGTTTGAATGCAGAAATTTAAACATGAATGCATCATCAACATGAGATTCACATTGAGCGATTTGAATGCACAAATACCTTTCCACCATTTGGGGCATTGGGTAGGGACTCCGAAGGTGGTTGCCTTGCCATATGGGGTTGAAAATCAGATGCCATGGCTACGATAGACCTGGTATAAGCTTTTCTTAGGTGCAAAGTCCGGGACACGGAATCAGTTAGATGTTGAAGAATTCCGGAGCTAGAATAGGACAAAGCTTGTTCCGAACTGCAAAGTAAGCTTCTGCTAAGACGACCAGGACTAGCAGCAGCAAGTTGAAGGCTCTGCGGTAGGCAGGGGTGTAAACAGCATGTGATGTAGCCTGGTACGTTGCCGATTAGTCGTGCCCTCATTTTACGATCTGCTTAGATTCTCCTACACATTCAGCCCCAAAATTCACACAATCTTACACACAATCGAGAAGTGTATCCAAGTTACATATGAACTACTAAATCCACCACGCTGTTAAGAATTCGAAAGTAGCCGATTAGACAAGAAACATCGCCACTTTTTATTCTTGACGAACTTCAGCACTCACATCCAACGCATTGCTGCCGATCACAAAGCAACCAATCCACAAAACCTACTGGCACCTGGACTTGCACAATTACATGGAAGCAAAAGTCACATTCAACTCGTCCTAACCCAGCAAGTAACCAATGCAGTTATGAACAACAAACATACGAACCATCCCCAAATTTCGGCTCCAGTGTCGCACAAGCTAAAATCACTTGCGGGGGAGGGGAATAAAAAACACATCCCAGGTCACGCGAAAAGAGCAAAGGCGACCCCTCAAAAATTTACCATAGTCACGGAGCACGAGTGTCCTTACACCAATTCAGCAGTGGTGATTACAACCCACAATTCGAAAAGCAAAACGACCCAACAAGTGAATACAGAGTGCACCCAAAGGTCACGCATGCAGTGTGCAGAGGAGCCCAGGATTGGGGAGGGACGCAAGAACCCTGAGTAGCAGGAGAAGAATAATAAAAAAAAAACTGTGAAAGCAGGACTGAAAAAAGGCAACGAACGAACAAAGGAAGGAAGGGATTGTTGTATACTAGATTGATGGGTCCCAGGGTCACACTTCCTGCCTGCCTGCCTGCCCAGCGCAACAATGCGATGATAGTTAAATCCCTCGCTCTCGCTCTCAAAGCTGTGGCTGATGACGTCTGGGCTGCGTCTCCCTTTCTTCTTCTTCTTCTCCACTGCAGCTTTTCGCCCGCTCCGCCGCAGTGTGAATGAGTCAACCTACACTGCGGTGTGAACGGAGTAGCCTAGCTTGCAGTGTGAATGTGTGACTCTCAAGTGCGGTGTGAACGCGGTAGCTAGTCTGGAATGCCTGAGGCTCATGTGGGTGTGGGACTTCCTTCCAAATAAGTTTAAGTTCGTTGCCTCTCATTCATTATTGGTGTAGACCCAACTTAATCCAAACTTCTAAATGTATACTCTCTCTCCTTGTCAGATGTGTGTTTTTTTCTCAAAATTAATTCTTGGTGATTGGACATATGCTGAACACTACATGAAATATCTAGATTACTATTGTTATTGTCTTGGGTTTGATGCCAAGTAAAATGTTTTATATTATCATTTAATAATATTTATTTATTTGAATAATTTTTGTATGCTGCATTCAACATCCATGTGTAATTTTGTTGCTAAGATAATAATCAAAATTAAAATGAAACATTTAGCAAGTACAAAACAATTACTGATGAATGACTTATTTGCAAATAAAGCTTGAATGGAATTTGTATGTTTATTTATTTAATTGTAATATAGAAAAAATGAATTTGAATGATTAAAGTGGTAAAAAATAAGATCACAAGATTTTGCTAATATTTATAGATGATATAATCTCAACTAGTTTAAATGTCAATATTTGTTAAATTTTAAAATTTATACTTATAGAATATCTTTTGATATTTCTTTAAGTATAACAAACATTCTTTGAATATAGAAACGTAATATCAAATTCTACATAATAAAGTTATTATTTTATTTCTATTATTAGAAAATATATGTTATTACTAAGATATCCAAATTTCTATTGAAGAAATATAACAAGCAAGACACAAGTAAGTAGAAATCAAAAATATTACACATAAAAGAAGTGTGGAATGAAATACCTCTTACTTCCAACATCATTTATTTATAGGAGGAGTTTATATCTTTTGTAGTTGAACTTCATCTATAATCATCTTCATCCTTCTTTGCTTCATGTAATTAAATTTTAGATTCCTCTTAACTTAACTGCCACTTAAAATCCTAGCCACCATATTAATAATTTATCTTCATCTTTTTAGTATCTTTTAATTATTAGCAACTTACTTAAAGTAATATCTTCTAAATAATAACTTATTATTACTTTAATACTACTATTTTGTTATTGATCAAAGGCTTTGAAATTTAATACTTTTGTCAACTTTTGATGTCTATCCTTTACTAGTACTTTTATTAGTAAATCAACAAGCAAGTTTTTTGTTGTACAATGCTTCATATCAATCAATCCCATTTTAATCTTCTCTCTTATATAGTAATATTGAATATCAATGTATTTGGTACTTGAGTAATGTTTTGAATTCTTTGCAAAAGTAAGACATCATTGATTATCATACTTTATTAGACTTGCTTCTAATTGGATAAATCAAATGTCTTTAAAAATTTGTCTTCACCAAATTGCTTCCATTGTACCATGATTTGCTCCTATATATTCCACCTCTATTGTGGACCTTATAATTGTTGGTTGTCTCTTTCAATTTCATGAGATTGCTCCAATTCCAACAAAGAACATATATTCCCTTGTTGATCTTCTATCATTTGTATCTCCAATCTAATTTGCATCACAATAACTATGTAATGCAATATTTTTTCCTCCAAAATATAATTTGAAGTTCAATCTACCTTTCAAGTATTTCATAATGCTATATTAGGGACATAATCCTTAGAACCTTTTAGAGACAAGTTTCTAGAACCTTCTAGAAGAAATTCTCTGGAATCTTCTAGAAGCTTCTTAGTTGGCTGTAGATATTAGGGATATAGTCCTTAAAACCTTCTAGAGATAAATTTCTAGAACCTTCTAGAAACAAGTCTCTGGAACCTTCTAGAAGCTTCCTAGTTGGTAGAAGTTGCTTGAGAAGCTTCTTAAATAGAAGTATATATTGGAATCGAGGCTGAAGAGTTCTTCAATCTCGACAACACATTTCTTGGAGCTCTAGTTCACCTCTCTGGTGTTGTTCTCATCTAATTAATCTAATTCTTGCCAGTTCTTCTTGAACTTCTTGTTAGATCTCGAGTCTGTATTTCTGTGTCTGTGACAGTTTGTCGAGATTGCACTCACCTCAGATATCAGAGCTAGTTTCTTCTTTGTTAGAGTGTGGATTACCCCTCTACTTGGAAGTGTACTAGCATTTTAGAGGTTGCAGATTACCTTCCTCTAAACTGATACTTCTTTTGTTACAATATTGGAATCTTATTCTTCTTGGAGAGAGCGGATTACCCCTTTTCTTGAAGCTCCTAAGGCATTTTAGAGGTTGCGGAGTACCCTCCTCTAAACCAATATTGTCTTCTTGTAGAGTCATTTCTGTCCTTTTTTTAGAATGGCCGTGGGCCAAGACATTAGTACGACGAAAAATTTGGAGTTCAAGTTAGATGCTATCATGAATGCCCTCGCTACGTTATCGCAAAGAACTGCAGAGATTGAAGGAGTCGTGGTAAGGCTTCATAATGATGGAGCATCTGGGATGGTACAATCTAGGTTGCACCAACCTCAAATTTTTGCACTTGGAGAAGCAACTTTGCCTCAAGTTCGAGAAGCACCGCTGGTTCTACAACATAAAGAGCCCCGAGTTAGCCTTCCGGACAAGTTTGATGGTACGCGTTCCAAGTTTCGAGGATTTGTCAACCAAATCAAGTTGATAACAATTTTACAACTGTCACGGACACAAAATACAGACTTGAAATCTAACAAGAAGTTCAAGAAGAAGTGGCAGAACTAGATTAAACAGATGAGTACAAGAACAACACCAGAAAGGTGAGCTAGAACTCCAAGAGATGTGTTGTCGAGACTGAAGAACCCTTCAGCCTCGACTCCTATATATACTACTGAATAGGAAGCTTCTCGAGCTACTTCCGCTAACTAGGACGCTTCTCCAACAACTTCTACTAATTAGGAAACTTCTCGAGCAACTTCCTAGAATCTATCAGAATATTCTAGAACCTTCTAAGAGAATCTTTAGGGAATATTCTAAGAATCTTCTAGAACCTTCTAAAGGAATCTTTAGAGAATCTTTAGAGAATATTCTAGAAGAATATTCGAAGAATCTTCCAATGTATGTCCATGACATCACCTCCTCTTCTAGCTTCGAGGTCTCCGAGAAGCAATGTTGTTATCAATCAATACCAACGCAAGTAAATGAAAATCTGTCGCATCACATCCGCTATGAATTCCAATTGTTGTTCGCGAGGCAAATGATTCATCGGCCCTTGGAGCCAACGGTAGTGACCAACACCTTCAACCTCTGACCAAGCGTGGACTTCTGTGTCTTCATTGTGAAACTGTCCTCCAAACACACCTTCTGGCTGACCGTCGTAGGCAGGCTCGACTTCAAATACAATTACTAGCGATCTATTGCTCGGTATCCTCCGACGTCGTCGTGGTGCAGGCGGTTCTTCATCTCGCGGTCGTCTTCGTGAGCTAGTCGCTTGAGATGACATAACAAGTGTAGTATCTTGACTATCCATGTCTAAAGGCTAAAATGATGAGAGCAAACTATAGTTGCTAACAAAGTTCTACACTATCGAACTATGGGTTTTGGAGGTGCCCTCCTCCCTTTTTATGCTACTTGATGAGCAAGCTTCAGCAAGAAGCTATCGTTGAATCGGCTTAGGTTTATGAGGATATCGTTGATGAAATTCTTGTACCTTTTTTGGCGCATTGGCAAGATTTTCGGCACGCTCCCACGTTCGTTCATTGATGTCGTATCCACTCCAATGCACTAAATACTCCAATTTTCTTCTATTACGCCGTGAATCTAGTACCTTTTCCACCTCGTATTCCTCATGGTTTTCAATTTCGATACTTGGTGGCGGACTTTGTACTCTTTGGAGAAAAGCTGACTCTCGATAAGGTTCCAACAAAGACACGTGAAAGACTGGATGTACCTTCATAGTAGCTGGTAACTCCAGACGATATGCCACAGGATTGATCTGCTTCCCGATAACAAATGGCCCTAATCTCCGATAGTCCAATTTGTCACATGGTCGCTTGGTCTTGATATTCCTTCGAAGAAGCCATACTTTACTTCCAACTTTAAAAGTAGGCGCCTCATTTCGATATTTATCTGCAGATGCCTTGTAACTCTCTTGGGCAGATTGCAATTGAAGCTTCAACGTCGCTTGAAGCTCCGATAGTTGCTTCACAAATCCTTCAGCTGCTGGGTTGTTATTTGCTGAAGAACTCAATAAATCGAGCTTGGGGTGGTATCCGTAGTTGGAGAAGAATGGTGTTTGTTGAGTTGACGCATGAAGAGTGTTGTTGTATGCGAACTCAGCAAGCGGTAGATATGCAGTCCAATCATCTTGTTGATAGTTGATGGTGCATCGTAAATATTGCTCCAAAACTTGATTCACCCGCTCCGTTTGACCGTCAGTTTGAGGATGAAAAGCCGAAGAGAGCTTAATATCCACCTTCAATATCTCAAAGAGGGACCTCCAAAACTTGGATACAAACTGAGTACCTCGATCCGACACGATATCATCTGGTAGGCCATGATAACGATATATGTTATCAAGAAAGAGTCTTGCGGTGTCTTCACTTGACGATGTTTTCTTGCAAGGCACGAAATGTGCCATCTTTGTAAATCGATCCACCACAACAAAGATGCTGTCAAATGAATTCAATGGCGGTAGGTCCGTAATGAAGTCCATAGAAACTGAAGACCATGGTCGGTGCGGAATAGGCAATGGCTGGAGAAGTCCATATGGACGATGTCGAGGGATCTTGGATCTTGAACAAACATCATAAGAAA